TACGTTGAGAAAATGAGCTTGCTGGTTTTAAAAGTTACGAAGCGGAATACGAGAACTTCTATTTTAACGGCAGAGAATAAATATCAATAAGATTCCAATCCAAATTTGAACCATGATTTAAATCATGATTTCAATCAGACCAGTTTTACTATGATGATTTAAGTCAAACCTTTCCCGCTAAAATAACCCCGTATATATATACATTATTTACCGAATATCTTTCATGGGATGGTTTATATGTAAATTTGTTTTATTTAAATTTTAAAAACAAATTACCAAGCAAGAAACATTTACATCAGCTGAAAAAGAAAAAAAAAATAAGTGGGCTTCTGAGCGAATTGGAGCATTGAGCGTTGTTCCTTCCTTCCACGTCGCTCGTCCACTACACTCTTCTGGTTTGTCGTTCTTCTGGCTGAGGACGAGCGGCAAGCTGGAGTTGAGAGTGCCTCTGCAATCTCCCTCGTTGCTTGCTGTCCATATCTCCCCAAAATGGTCGTATCTTCCAGCATAGGCCCATACCCATGCTACAATGAATAGCGAGATTGCCTGAGGCCGATGACCTAAGTGACTCCGCGCGCGTTTCATCAGCCTCTCATTTACGGATCTTACATACACTCTTTCAATAGAAAGTCGTGCCTTATGGCTTTATACACGATGCCCTCCCCGCATTACACAAACTCCTTTCGATGATGTTTTCCTGCATGCATGACCATTGCGTTTTCCGCGATCAGCTCGTGTCGCAGAAAAGCCGGCATCGGAGTTTTGCGTTCAGATCCAGGATTGGTCGCTGGGGTCAGGACGTCACAGATTCATGACCTCGGGCAGGATATTTCAGACCAACAACGCTCACTTGAAACGTGACGTCACACGCGGAATGAAAGTGATAAAAAAAGCATGACACGTACTGCGAATTAAAGGTCCCTACATGTCTCATATGATTTAACTGTAAAAATTAATTCACTTGCCTTACAGAAAAAGTGGAAGAAATTCAGGCATTTTCGAACCCACGACGTTTCGGTTGCGAGCCAGACACGCTACTAGCCTCGCAAGGCACACTTTCAAGGGCTGGGAACGAACGGGAGTTTATATGTTTATGTTTAGCTATCGCGTTCCCCTCGCAGCCTTTTCCTCATAGATGGCGCAGAATATTTCCGGAACAAACGCGTTGCATGCTCGCGGCTGCGCATGCAGGCCGGGCTCTCGAAGTGAGCTGGAGTCACGGGCTGTTCGGCGCCGATTTAAGCGAGTTAGGCACTGATCTCTATTGTAGTTGGCTGGATCGCGGACCGCGGCCTCGGCAGGCGGCGCTTGATAAGCTCCATTGGATCGTCTGACTTGAAGTGAAACGGGGCATAGACGTGAATCAGCGGCGCATAATCGAACCGCAGGGAAAGGACAAAATTACACTTCGAAGTTTTTCAGAACGTCGTAAGAATAGTATTAGAAACAAACTGCGTAAAAAAAAGAACGATTACGAGAGTTTCTCCTAGGACGCCATCCGGTGACAATGAACCTGGATGGATGGATGGATGGATGAATACGGCTGAGTCCTTTGGATCGGGCGGTAGCTTACGCCACCTAGCCATTTTGTTTTACCATTTAAGCTTAGAATATTTAAATGTGAAATCTATATTCACTCCGCAGTGCAAAGAAAGTGAGGCTATGAAACCCCCTTGCCATCAGTGATTAAGAAAATACCTAGTTTTCTCTCGATTTCTGCCACTATTCACTTAATCTTTGCTTGGTAATCTCTACAGTCTTGAAATCCACTCTCCCTTCGCTGTCTCTAAAACCCAATGACTTTATTAAATCTATGTTGTCTTCGGTAGGCATAGGGTGAAGCCCTTTACAGTAGCGAGCGCCGCCTGGGGAGTTGTCTTTGAACTACAAATGAAGGGCAGCCCAACTTACCTCCGCCCGTCAGAATAGACCTTTTGCGAAATCCCCCAAGCGCCCCGGCCCGCGCGCGATGAATTGTGGGAGAGACTGTCCCTCGCCTGGCCGCTCTGCCTTGAGATCGCATTGCCCTGTCACTCGTCTCCTCTTAATCTTCTGTTTTTCGATTCCATTTCCTATTTTTATCTTTTTCAGTGTATCTTTTATTGATTCTAAGTGTTTCTATTATCTTCAGCGCGTGATATTTCTTGTATAAATATAGTATTTGTGTCTTTATTTTGCTTTTTTCGACGGGAGTGCCGACGGACAACACGCCGCTTCCCGCGTCGTTCTCCGGGTGAGTACTACCGTTGCTACCGATTCCTGTCGCGCTGTTAGCTGTTCATTTTGGTTCATTTGACCCTCGTGCAGTCGAGAGAAACTGTTTTTGAACACCCGCTCACATGTCAGATGGGCAGGCAGAGCTCTGAATCAACTATCGCGACGCGATAGCCGAGTGCGCCGCTGTGATTTGGCCGCCCGCGCTCGCTCCGTTGACTCGCAGCGTATGCTTTCGAGTGGCGCTTACTTGACCAAGATGCAGCACGCCTCTTTGTCGCCATGAACCGCTTGTTCCAAAGTTTGCGAAGCTGAAGCATATGCAATGCTGCGGTGCCTGACAATTGCACGCTGCGGCGCGATCCCTTCGCAAACGCCGACGGCTCAATGTCGCGGCTTGAATGCGCCTATGGCATGCCTTCGTAATCTATCTGCTAAGTGGTTGTCAGTAGCCAACGCCCTTTTTTAAGTTCAGAGAAATGCTGCCGCGAATCATTTGTCCGATTGCGTGCGAAGCCGTAACACCGTTCGTCATCTCCAACACTGCGGTGCCTGACAAATTGCGCGCAGCGGTGCGAGCCCTTCGCAACCGCCGGTGACCCAACGTCACGGCTTGTATGCGCTTATGGTATGCCTTCTTAATCTATCTGCTAAGCGGTTGTCAGTTGCAAACACCCTTTTTCAAGTGCAGAGATGTGCTGTCACCCCGACAGTTATCTTGAAACTCGTAGTTGCTGCGATAATTTTATTTCTCTCGTCAAGATGTCAGCTCAAGGTATTTTATTTCTTTAGGTCACCTTCAGCAGCAACATGCCCGGTGGTACAGTTTGCTGTGAGCCAGGCTGTGAAAATCATACTGCCAGCGCAGAGCATGATTCCTGGCACCGCTTTATAAAAGACAGCGTCCTGCGAAGCGTTTGGGCGAAGACAACTGCGTGCAGTTGTCAGGCAGGCGCCGCAGCGTTGTATATGCCGGACGGTGTTACAGTTTCACAGGTATTCAGACAAATGATTCGCGACGGCAAAACGGCCTTCTGTATCTTAGTCAAGTAATCGGCACTCGAAGGCGCACCTACAGCGCGAGTCAACGAAGCGAGCGTGGGCAGCTCCCGCACCGCAATCGGCCACTGGGCTCTCGCGTCGCGATTGTTGATTCAGAACTCTGCCTACCAATATGACATCTGCGCGGGTGTTTATAAACGGCTCCTCTCGACTGCACGCGGGTCAAATGAACGAAAATGAACAGGTAACAGCGCAGCAACGGTAGTACTCACGCGGGGAACGGCGCGCGAAGCGGCGTTATGTCCGTCGGCACTCCCGTCGAAAAAAGCAAAATAAAGACGAATACTATATATATACAAGAAATATCGCACGCAGAAGAAAGTAGGAACACTTGGAAGCAGTAAAAAGTACACTGCAATAGATAAAAATAGGTAATGAAATCGAAGAACAGGATTAAGAGGAGACAACCGACAAGGCAATGCGACCTCAAGGCAGAGCGGCCAGGCGAGGGACAGTCTCTCCCACAACTCCTCGCGCGTGGGCCGGGGCACCTGGGAAAATTGCAATTCGTCTATAGATTGGCATCGCGCTGGTGTTGATCTTGGTTGCCTTTTATGACCCATACTAGCGTATACTCAAACCGGAATGGCCCGAAAAGACGAGATACGCGAAAAGATAGGTGCTGAATATTTTAATTGACCGGAGGTTTACCTTGCAAAAATGACGACAGCGGGTAGCAAGGCGAGGGGAGGGGAGGGGGTGTATGCATGTGCAGAAGCTTACTGACCAAGGGGCAATAGAACCGCACTGAACCGTTCGTACTATACTGGAGTCACGCGGCCCGGTTCTTTTTGCGCTATAAAAAACAATCAAGGAGCTGCCAATGTGATGGCAGTCGTGCCTGGGCACCCAAGGCCTCTGAAAAGACTACGGTGTTCCGTGCTTGTCGATGTTTTCATTTCTTCTTTAGAAATTAAAGTCCTGGTCGACACTTGCGCACGGACGACTTTTGAATGTTTTCCGGTCCGAAAATATGCCGGTTCTCATCAGCTTTCAGTTGGGGAATAGTAACAGTCCCTGCTTTGTTTTATTGTTTTTTCAAAGGTGCTACAAATTCCAGTGGCACTGAAGGAAAGAAAACACACGTTTTGCGACTATATATATTAAAAAAAAATCAACACACTTGAACAAATGAATATACGATACAATGCGAAAACAATTTCCTCATATGAATTGGCCAAACTGTTGAAAAAATACAACAAATGAAGCTAAATTATTATCAATAACTACGCAAGCGCAGTAGCAAATGTACGCAACACTCGAACTTAAGAACATTGGTAACAATAAAACGTGACGTTTCTTTGAAAACGTATTGGCGATGATCTCTTGAAATTTATCGAAAACTTCGAAAGACACTGATTTCTACCGCCGGGACGTGGAGCTATTTTTTGTGTCATGTAGCGATACGGGTGAAAACTATTTATTTACTTGTTACGGGTTCATGCTTTTTACCTATTAGGGTCAAGATTTAGCAAAGCACTCGGTTCACCACACCAAAGATTTAGCTGCTTCGAAGCTTACGATTATCAACTGTTCCTATCTTCGGCACTGGCACGATGCCCAGCAATTTCACTCGCTCTTTCTGCTACTGCAATTATATAAAGTAGCCGAATGAACGCTCTTGATGCAAGGATTGAGGAACAAAAAGTATTGTGAACGTTAAAACATGTATTTGCTCTGTCTGTGTGAACTTGCCGAAGCGGTCAAGGAAAAAGTTGGATGCTTCAGTTACCTACTTCCAAGCACAAAACAATCCTATCATCTACAACGAAGCCTTCATCGAACAAAGAGTTTGCTTCGAAGTCAAATCCTTTTAGAGGATCGCTGGTTTCGAAGAGCTCAGCGGGCAACAGGGGGCGAATTTTGTTCAGACTAGCATCGGTTGGGTGAATCAGAACTAGTGTGATGTCTATCGACAGCCCAGATGTTATCGCTTGACCGACAAATGCCAACTTGAAGCTGACAAAGGTATCATTATAATATGGAGTTCGGATGAATTTGCAGATTTGCGAAAGCTTAACCTGGTAACCGTTAAGTGTTACCTCTCCCTTCGGACATGCCGGATAATAGTACAGAGTTTCGCATCCAGCTGGGGCATATTTCACTTTCGAATAAAAGTTTCTGCATACAAAATGGTGTTTCGCTTCGCCAAGATCACCTGGCCGAAGGCACGTAGCCACCCAGTTATTGGGAAGTTTCTCACATAGAGCATGGATGTTTTTGACTACCGTAGCACAATTTTCTATCGACTCAATGAAACCTGATGTTTTGTTTGTTGCATTGTCTGTATTTGTAACGCAGTGCTTCACAGACTCGACAAGATTCCTTGCCAGATTTTCGAGATCATTGACAGACTGGGAACACTTTCTCATCGACTCAACGAGGACATTGACGTTGTCATCACCTGCGCAAATTACAGCATTGGCTGCCGGAGAATTGACCCCTGCACAGTTGTCCTTGTAAAACTTTACTTTTTCATTTAAAATACTACTTTCTGTCCCAACAGACACCGCACGTCTATTTTGAAGGCGACATGCATTCAAATGCTCCAGTACGTTGTTACGAAGGACGGAGTCGCCACATCCTTTGCAAGACACCATGTGGAAGTGGCAGTTCTTCACAAAGTGATTTTCAAGATCAAAAAGTGGTCCTTGAAAGTCACAACCATGTCGAGCGTTCAGGCAGCTGACCAGTAGCTTATCTCTCGGGGCATCCCCAAGAACGAAGTGCATGCTTTCGTCTGGGTTGATTTCCATTGCGTCGAGAGGACATTTAGGACTAGCCTCGAGTAAGAGGCGCTGGTAACAATCGAGGCAGAAGGCATGCAGACAGACCGCCACCATTGACGTCTGCGACACTAATCCGCAGAGGTCGCAGATACAGGCACGGGGCAGTGGCTTGTGGAATGTCAGAAGCTTCCAATCCAGGAAGCTGGAAAATCCTGTGAGCGTTGCTTCAGCCATGTTATAGATGGCGTCTCATGAAAGCTGAGCACTTTATCTTTTCCACAAACCTCCTTGAGCCGGATTTGTGCTGACCCCTTGTCCAGGCCTTGTCGGTGTCCTGCACAGGAGCGCAAATTGCCGCATTAGCAGTGCAACTACTGAGTACGACCAAGTTCTTATAAATAATGCAGTAACTGCTGACAAGTACTTAGCCTTCTCTTTGTATTCAAATGTTGAACATTCTTGACGGTTTAAAGGGCGTACTTATCCCAGGAATCAAATTGGCGACAGCAATTATGAAAAGTAAGGACGCAGACGAGCTAGATTTATGCAGTCACTTTAACGCTAGAGAGTTGAGACAAAAACACGTCGAAACAAATTTCCAAACGAAGAGTGCCGTTTTCTTTTTTCGATCTTCAAATAACTGATAAAAGACCTAGTGTAATAAAATATATTTCAATATGCAAAGAATTTAGACGGACTCAAACGACTTCTCCATATAATCACATCACAGATTTAGGCAGTTAAGTGTCGGCATCTGCGTAGCCGCACATTGCATTATGGGACCTTTCCCATAATGACGTCACACGTGAAATTGACGTGTGACGTCACACATCAATTTAGCTGGAAACGTTCACAGCTAAATTTAGTGGAAATATTAATTTAGCGGAAAAATAGACCCGCTATATTTAGCACGGGAATGTTACTGCTACATTTAGCTGAAAATTTTCCAATTAAATTTAGCGGAAAAAATTCCGCGCTAGATTTAGCGGAAAAACTCCCCGCTAAATTTATCAGGGAAATTTTCGCTACATCTAGCGACAAACTTAGCGAAAAGATTTCGCTTAAATCGGAGGGGAGCAGGAGGGGAGGATGGGACGGTACGGTGGAAAGGAGGGGCATACCCTCCCCTCCTCCTCCTCAAGAGCTGCGCTCCAATTTGGCATTACAGATAATTGTAAGCGTCTTTAATTTTTTTTTTGTTACCTAGGTCATCGGAGGTTGAACAAAGTAGCTCTTGTATTTACACTTCATTTCTACACTTCATTTATAAAATTATTGTGACTCCAAATATAGTATAGAAATATATGGACATTGATTTTGAAAATACAGGTAGTTTAATTCAAATTCGAGTGGATTGTCTGAAAGGTGAGGGTTTCATGGCTGCACGAAATCTAGTAGCAGCGAATATTTCTATGGTCCGTAGAGAAGAATTCCAGACTTTAGAAATCGCAAATGATCGCGAATATGACACCGCTGCCCAATACACCTCTTCCAAAACCGACGCGCCCCATCGCGGCGAAATACCACGCAGTGCACTCTGGTAACTAGTTGGCCACTCAGTTTCGGTTTCGACTGAGCAGCTTCATCTCATGCTATCAAGCCGCGACCGAACGCGCTGCTTGCGTTTTCGATTATCTGACTTTCGACGAATGTACACTACACTCATTCTCGAGCAATACAAAACGAAGACCGGGGCACTTTCCTCGGTTCCCAAAACTCCGGCTATTGTGCATGCATATACAAACGTAGTAAGACGTAGATTAGTCACCTCACCCCACAAGTGCGTCTTTCAGCTGAATGTCAGTAATCCCGTCTAGTACCAGTCAACTACAACTGAAATTTGGTCACCTTGAGCCCTACACGTATTTTGTTTGCCAAACGTCCGCTTCTTGTTACTTCATTGGGCGAAAAGCAAGCCACATCTTCACAGGATTATCCAAGTCGAGCCCAGCGTTGGCGCATGAACTTTTAAGGAAACGCAAAAAATTCGACCTCACTACTGCACGAAAGTTACTGTGATGTCTTCCTCGTGTCATCATATATCTTCCACTCAAATTTAATGCTGATAGAAGATTAAGTTTTCGCAAACACTGAGATCGGCTTGCTATGACGGAGGCCCAAACAAGCGTCCCCTACTCCTCGGTAAGCCTTTTGGACGAGCTTTTCCTGACGCCCAAGATCTGTGCCTGAACGGTGTGTCTGAAATTATCTCGGCATACTCGGTCAGGAAGAAAGCAAACACATAACAAATATTATAACCATTAGCAACCGCCAAAAGCGCTTCGAATAATTTCGTTCATTTGGCGCACCGCATAGGGGTTCATGCCCGTCCGGCGCACTTCCGCCGAACGGTGCGACATTCTTCACATAAGTGCTCGACTTTTGCTTTTTTAAAACGGTTTGTACGTGCAAATGTGCCTATGTGACTACGAATAACTTTATGTGCATACGCGATGTTGAATATTAGTGGAATGCAAGCGGGATGGGACTTCACTTCGTGCAGTGCTGCGGGTCAGTACAGATAAGAGATAAGAAGTGTGTTATAATTGAGCTTTTCAATGGCGCGCCCGAGTTTTACCTCGCGCACTCAGGCGTATCCAAAAATAATTATTTGCAAAAAGTTTTATTTCGTCTATGGACGCCAGAAACAAACAAACTTCCTGATCAACAACACTAATGTAAAGGCGCGAGCTCGATGTATGCATACTTATTGGTGTCTACAGCTTGTTGATTCGTACACAAGCAAGATCCCCGAGCTTCAGAGCGTCGAGATTGCCAGCACTGGCTCGTCCGCATACCTCGAAACGCCAACAGAAAGGCTCAAGTACAAAATTACAACAAGCATGTGTTAAGACAAACTATACGTCTCGGGCTTGTGGTAAAGCTTCGAGGTCTGGCCATTTAGGTTAGTTTAGAGACCACAAATGACGCCCTCGGGGCCAGAAAACATGAGATAACGGCCGTTTATAGTCCACACTTTGTGTATAATCTCTTGTCGACGTGTCGATCGAAACCGAAACCATGCCACTATCCTCCCTTGCCAACTAGTTCCCAGAGTGCAACGCGCGCCGTGTTGCATGCAGAGATTTATGGAAGTAGTCTAATCGCGAGAATAAAACACGCGAGAATAAAGTGTGTTACAGTAATCAAATTTTAATTTTTGATTGCATGGGTCATGTTACTGTTGCAGAATTAAAGATATCCATTATTGGAGGCTAAACAAATTTGTGGGGAGATGACGGCGGTCCCGGAGAAACGAATCGGTTGGTTTTCGCTGTTTTGCCACCCGATTTCGAAGCTGGACGTAGAAAACGCGCCTGGAACTTCCGTGCAGAGCACTAACCTCCACTATAGGGGGCCTGGATGGCGCATTGAGCAGACAGGTATGAAGCCGCCGAAAATAAGCGATTTGTCCCGTTAGTGAGCGCTTGACGGGCTTTTCAACTCTTCCGAGTGCTGGATCGAACAGCACTCAGGGTGCTAATATTTTTTTTCTGTCATCAGTAACAGCGCATGCGGACCCGAGAAGTCTCCTGGGAAGCCATTCGATGTGAACATTTTGAGATTCTAGTTGATCAAGTGTGCGTATGTCCCACGTTCAAATGCCTTATTTTCGGGATTTAATTCAGAACGGGAGTTTTAAAGGGAAACTCCGCTCAATTCTGAAAAATTTAGGCTTGCATGTCATTCCATTTCACAAAGCACTACTAAACAGCTCTACGTCCTCGGATTCGCGAAATGTGGAATATTATTTGTGTAAGCTTAATTTAAACATCAGCTGATACCGAAACCGAAACTTCGGTTGCGTCAGGCAACATTGGTCTCGCACCGTCAGAGTCATGGCCACGTCACGTCAAACCACGTGGTCTTGTGACGCTCATGGGGGCGAGGGACAGGACACGCGACGCGGGCAGGTCGCTTCGCAAGGCGTGGACGGTGATGGCCCGGGGGAGAGGGGGAAGGGGAGAAGCCGAAAGAGGAGAGGGGGAGCGGAAAAACAGACCGATAAGCGCACAGGGCAGCGCAAACAAGCGCATCCGCGTTAAGCGCGATCAGGTGGACGCCGTTCAGCCAACACCAGGAGGAGAAACTCACGACGTCATCGTTCGTGGATGAAGAAAGAATAAAATAATTAAAACAGGGACAACACAACCACATCTTTGTGGTTGTGTTGTCCCTGTTTTAATTGTTTTATTCTTTCTTCGTCCATGACTTAAAGCAACACGCTCTTCTACCAAGCAAAGTCATTGTTCAATTTCGCTCTGAGAAGTGAAAACAAACAAAACGTGAGAATTACGTAGTCATGCCTCTGACGTAGTGGCTCAACGTTGGCCGCTCCAACTCCGTCGCATTGACTGCGCTGACGATTGCGCCTCGCGTCGCACGCTAGAGTTGGCAGATTTCGGCGACTTGGCTGATTTGAAAGCCAGTTTATTAAATATATAGACGGAATTAGATCGTAATATTGGACATGGGGTCCTCCTATATGATACTGAAGAGGACTTGATAGTTTTCTAATAATCATAAATGAAGCGGAGCTGCCCGTTAAAGCCCAATCAAAGACACAAAAAAGCATGGACCATAATATCGTCTGAATGCACAAGGATGCCCAGCACACGCCCAACTTCCGAGACAAGCATCGAACTTCTGGTGGCTTTACTTGCGCCAGGCTCGGAGAGCAGCTATGCGCCATCCAGCCCCTTATAGTGGAGGTCAGTGGCCCAGAATGATGCACGAAAGAGCGAGGTACTTGATTCGGGAGCTTCGTCATTAGGGAATTGTAGTAGACCGTTTTTCTCCTACGCTACGGTATCCCCGAAGAAAACGCCGCATCTGCGCATGCGCGCCGCCAGCCTTCTCTGCATAGTTCAAGGTCTTGTGACGGATTACGGAGCGCTATCCGGGTGCTTAGCGGGCTGCGGAAACGGTCTACTACAATTCCCCATTATCTTGGCGATCCGACGTGAGCAGCCGGATGCAGCTCCGAGGTTCCCAGGTTTGTCAAAGTGTGGCGCCACATAATCTCCTGTACATCCACTCATTTCTTCCAGTGTTGTGCGGAACTGCGTTCCTGAACACGTTCCTTTTAGGATGAACGAAGGAACACCGCCGTTCCATTTTGCATCGGTGGAACTGGAACGGGAACTCGTTACGTTTTTACGGGAACTGAAAAAGGAACGGCCTTCCTTTCTTTCGTTTAGTGAGGTAAATTAATTTTATTTCTAAGGGGGGAA